TCATATCCTTTCTATCACCATGTCTAACGGACAAGTGTCCAGGTCACTCACCTTGGTGCGGTACCAGGACTCGGCCTCTGCTCGGCTGCGGGTGGCAATGTCATCATACTGAGCCTTGATCTCAGCCACGATGCAGTCCATGTTCAGGTCCCTGCTGTTGTCCATCTTGACGATGACAGAGGTGTCTGAGATGTGGGCGTGGAGGATTCGGATCTCCTGTGGGAGGAGGGGGAGGAAAGCTTTTTAGTTCACAGACCCCTACTCTTGGCTTCCTACCTTCTCCCAGTCTTTCTCCTCCCCTGTGTCTCCAGTAGTAGCAGTCTGGTGGCCACTGTCATGTCCCAGTGTCCCCCCGGGACCATCCCTCAGTGCTCTTCACATCATACCACAGTCCCAGGAGGAGGAGAGAGAGTTGATGTTTATAACCTAGGCTTGGTGCTGTTGCCCAAGCCCGTGGTTTACCAGCTGTGATTGCTGTGGTTACACTAATCAGGGAATCTAGCTTGCATGGGTGTGCAATGAGATGCAAGCTACAATTCTTCACGTTGAGATCTGTCTCAGATCTCAACAGTATTCTGTCCCCTGACTCCGCTGGGAGGCTTAGAGACCAAAGTGGTTGCAAGTCCATCCCACAGTGTTGCAGGCTCCTCCTGCCCGACTGCCCTGTGTCCCCTCACCTCCTCATACAGTCGCCGCAGGAAGTCGATCTCCTGTGTCAGAGCTTCTGCATTGGCCTCCAGGTCCGACTTACGGAGGTAGGCACAGTCCACATCCTAAAGGGAAGACGAAGCAGGAGTCCACGGGGAGCACACCAGAGTGCCTCTCTCCTCTCCAGTTATTAGACTGAGTGCTTCTTGGGAGGCCCTCCGCTGGTGGTCATCCCAGGGCGCGGTGCCATGGAGTGAGCAATACCTTTTATGTCATTGGTGAGGAGTGGGAAGGGAAGGGGACCCGAGGATCCCAGGCACAGCCTGCTTGTTGCCACTGGAATGGGTCCTCTATACCTACAGCTGGCTTTGCCACCAAAACCTGGGGTCTAGTGTGGAAGTGCGGAATGGGTCATTTCTGCAGCTATGTTCTGGATCTTAGAGAAGAACCAGGCCTAGGACAGAACTGAGGACCCTCTGCATCTGGGCCTTAGGTTCTCACAGAAGTCCCCTCATCCGGGTGGTTAGGAGGTGAGTCCACAAGGCAGAGTCACGTTTAGGAAGCAAGAAACACTAGGCATCTTCATCACCATGTGTTTCCCACTGTGGCTGTCCAAGGCACCCTGGCAACTGGGGCTCTCTCCTTCACCACAACATATCAAGTGCCCGCTCCATTGACAGCCCAGCCCCAAGGGACATTAGAAGCCTAGACTAATGAGCATGAGATAACAGTGCCCCGAGTGAGGCTGGCATGGGGCGCTGAGGTCCAGGGCCATGCAGGGGTTAGTCTTTGTGACTCTGGGAAGCACTGGCCTCCAGGGCCCAGCAAAGCTGCGGGCTGAAGGATGACTGAGTCACTCACCTTCTTCAGGGCCACAAATTCATTCTCAGCAGTGGCCCTGAGTGCCACTTCTTCTTCATACCTGGGGACAGAGGGCGTAAGGCACAGATTTGAGGAGGGGGAAAAAGAAAATAAAGGCCCAGAAAAACATACCCCAGGACCTCACACTTTGGAAAGGACCATGACAGTTCCCTGTGCTCCTACATCCTCCTGGCTGATGTGGGTCAAGAGGGGCCTTATGCCTCCTTTCTGTCTGGACTGCAGCTCTCTGAGAATAAGAAGCCTGCCTGGCTCTGGAGCCACCCTTTCTTTGCCTGGTCCCCATCCAGGGCCTGCTCCAGCACCACCTAGACACAGCGGGTGCTCAACAAGCCTTTGTGAATTAAGAAAAGAAATAAGCAAAAATGAGTATTTTAGAATCTACAATCTTCATTTAAAAAAGTTTTTTGAGATTTCGTTTATTTTTCTTCTACGTGTATGGATGTTTGCCTGCATGCGTGTCTGTGTGCTCATGTGCATAAAATGCCAGTGGAGGCCAGAAGAAGGTGCTGGCCTCTTGGGGTTAGAGTTACAGATGGTTGTGAGCTGCCATTTGAGTGCTAGGAGTTGAACCCTGATCCCCTGAAAGTGCTCTTTACTCCCGAGCTGTCTTAGTCCTAGCCCCCTTTGCCATCTCTAAGCTCCCAGGCTAAGAGAAAGTTTCTCGCTCTTTAGACCAGTGGTTCTCAGTCTGTGGGTCATGACTCCCTGAAGGTCGCATATCAGATGCTTTATATTATAATTCATAGCAGGTAGCAAAATTACAGTTATGAAGTAGCAATGAAAGTAACGTTATGGTTGGGGGTCAGAGCAGCCTGAGGGCCGCAGCCATAGAAAGGTGAGAGCCGCTGCTCTGGCAGTAGGAGCCTCCGTTGTCTTCTCTCTGGAGGGAGGATCCCTTTACAGTCCAATCTAAAGCCACTTTGTCTCTGTGCACCCCCATCCCCACTGCCCTCACCTCTTCTTGTAGCCCTCCATGGCCTCCTGGGCGTGGTTGAGCTCAGCAGCCAGTCTCCCGCTGTCAGCCTCCACACACTCAGCCTCCCTCCTCAGGGTCTCGATGTAGCCCTCAAACAGCGGCTCCACGTTGCTCTCACAGCACTTGCGGTTCTGGTAGAACTGCCACTTGGTCTCCAGCAGCTTGTTCTGCTGCTCCAGGAAGCGCACCTGCCATGGGAGAGGGAGAAAGTCTGTGGAAGGGAGCCAACCTGCCTTTGTCTCCTGATAAAACTCACTGAAGAGGTGTACAATGAATGGGCAAATGAATGTTTGCTCAGGTGGGCCCAGATGGGGAAACTGAGGCAGGGAGCTGTGCTGGGCAACTGAGAGACTGCAGGTAAGGCAGAGGCAATCAGGAAAGCTCCCTGGAGGAAAGAACACAGAACAGTGGAGGGGGAGGGAAGGGAGCCTTTCACTACGCTCTTCCTCAGGACGGGTTGTAGCTTAGGTGATGTTCTTGGTAACCAGGGAGCTTGGTGAACAACTGAGAATGGATGAGGTGGGTAGGGTGTCCTGAACACAGGGAGGGGGTGTCAGAGAGGCAGGGGTGAGTGTCCTGGGCACGGGGAGGGGGTATCAGAGAGGCAGGGGTGGGTGTCCTGGGCATGGGGAGGGGGTATCAGAGAGGCAGGGGTGAGTGTTCTGGGGCTCTTGTCACAGAAGAGGCCTGCAGTCCCAAGTGAACCTGAACTCACAGGTCTCTGGAGACCATGTGGATGATGCAGACCGGAAAAGATTTTAGAAAAAGATGTCACTGTTTACTGTCAATCATAAAGACAGAAGTGCCCATGTGGCCAAGACCCACTGTGCTGGCGGAGAAGAACGACAGCAAGCCAGGTTAGCCCTGGGCATCTAGGTTTCTAGACCTGAGCTGGAACGGAGTTGCCTGTTGGCTGCAGGACTGGTCCACCTCTTACGGCCAGGCCTGGCCCCTGTGCACCTTCTACCAAAGAGTACAGTTGAGGAGCCCTGGGATGGAGCTTCCAGAAACAGTGTCTAGGGTCCTCCATACTGTGTCTTAGCCGATAGGATCCTGTGACTGTCTTAGCTCTACTTTCCATTTCAAGGTCATGGCCAGCTCACACACTGCCCTGGTGGGGGCTCTGAGGTGGAGCAAGGAGGACATTGCTCCTTGTCATCCAGTGAGCCAGAGGAGGAAGTAGGTGTTGGGCAAAGGCCACGGATTCTTGGGCCCAGGATCCATACTGCTCGACTGTTACCACTTTTCCAGGGTGTAGCCTGACTGGACGGACCTGCGGCTGTGAGCCTTGGGCCCTCTAATTCAGGGGCCTGTGGAACAGGACAATGCAGTATTGGGTCTAATCTGACTCTCTGTGGTTGGACAATGTTGTCACTGCCGTTTTCTCTTCTGGGTATCAAGGCATCAGTCTTCAATTGCCCTCTGTTCTAAGGCTGGCTACAGCTTGAAGAGGCGTGATTTATCTCCTCAGCTAAAGTTAACTAAGAGCTACCATTCTGCCTGAGCGTCTAAAACCATTTAATTGGTCCTTAGGCTCCAGAAAGGGCCTGGCCCAGGACACCCACCTTGTCGATGAAGGCCGCGAACTTGCTGTTGAGGCACTTGATTTGTTCCTTCTCTTCATGCTTCACACACTGAGCATTGGGGTCGATCTCCAGGTTGAGGGGTGTGAGCAGGCTCTCATTGACAGAGACGCTGGTGATGCAGGGGGGTGTGGGCCCGCAGACGCCTCCAGAGCGGTATCCGAAGCTGCGTCCACAGGAGCCAGAGCGGAAGGTCCCGCAGACGCTGCGACTGCCAAAGCCCCCTGAGAGTCCACGGTAGCAGGAGATACCCCTGTAGGGAGCTGCGGAGATGCAGCAGCGGCCAGGCCTGGGGCCACAGGCCGAGGCGCAGCTGAAGGCTCCGAGGCGGGAGGAGAAGCAGGACATGATGTGCAGGTGATACAGGGCCAATCTGGACCCCAAGGCCGGTGCTGAGCCTTATATCGTGCAGAAGGCAGCGCACCCTCCGCCCCAGCGTTTACGAGCTTGCAGGTTGGAATCAAAGCAGCCGGAGCTACCTGGCCGCCCCCATAAAACAGCGTTCTTCTCCCGCCCGCCTGGGCTTTATGGTGCCACGAAGCGCCTGGTCAGCTCCAGGACCTGGCACTCTAGGCATCGGGCGGGACTCTCCTGCCCTGCTGCTGGGACTCAGTGTGTCACCTTGTCCATCCCAGGCTGGCTCACACCCCAATTGGTCTCACCATGAAGGCTAGGAAATCCGGGCTTTGGGTGTCTAGTGACCTTTGAGTTAAGTGTGTGTGTGTGTGTGGGGGGGTCATGTGCGCACGTGTGATGAGGGACAAGGCCTTTGAAGTTATGGGCAAGTTCATGTCACGACTTTGGGCAGGTGAATAATCTTCCTGAGCCTCAGATGTCCTGTGGGGAGTAGGGATAAAGGGATAATAATTATAATATCCACCTGAGTGCTGCTGGGAGGAACTAATGGGATAATGGACCCGAAAGCCTCCAGGGTGAGACTTGGCACTTACTAAGAGTTTCTGAGATGTTTGTTGTTTATCTATTTGTTCCACTATTATTAATTTGTTATTTCTCCTGTGTCCCCTTGGGTAGACACTTTCTCTTCTGCCTTTCACAGCTCAGCTCCTGCCTCCTCTTGCCCTTCATACCCTTCTCCGTGCAGCATGGAGAGCGAAGCCAGTAATACTGACGGGTTCGCCAACGACCCGCCTAGCTCACTGTAGAGGGGTTTTACTGACGGCTTTGCCAACGGCCTGCCTAGCTCACTGTAGAGGGGTTTTCATTGTTTTCGGAGACAGGGTTTCATGTAGTCCCGACTGGCCCCAAATCACTGTGTAGCCTTGAACTCTTAACTCTTCTCCCGCCTCCTCAGGCTTTCTTCAGAGATTGTGCCCGATCACCGGCTTGGGAAGATGAGCCCGCAGTGGTACGGGACTCATGGGGAAGGCTCCGAGGAGTGGCCTCGGAACCTGAGGGTCCAGGGCTGCTCGGTGCTGTCTCTATGGGGCATGTGCCTGTGTACCTGGAGCAGGAGTGAAGCTGAGTTCTTGGAGGCAGGATTCAGGCTGCGCTCCACTCCCCTCAGTTCACTGATGGTCAAGGACACTGACTCCAGGGGCCAGAGTCATGACAAAGGAGGTTAATTGTGTGTCTTATTATTAGCAGCGGAAACCGGAGTGTGTGCTCAGCAGCCGGCATTAAAGGGAAGCATGCGTGTCACCGCGCTTCCTTTGTTTTAAAGCTGTGCTATTATTGTGTATGCAGTAATTAAATCTGGGAACTCCAAGATCACCACGGGCAGCCCAGCCTCTCATTTCCAAGGAGTGTCCCATTGCCACTATTGCTGTCTCTTTTACATTCTCTCTTGGGTTGGGTTGTTTTGGTCCAGTATGGGATTATTTTATATTGGTTTAGCCCAACCATGGTTCTGTGCATGAGATGGTCCCCCAACTCTAGTGTCTTGGATGTAAGATTCTTTTTCTTTTTGACGAGGTTTTAGCTGTAGCTCAGGGTGGCGTTGAACACTCTATCCTTCTGAAGGTATGTGCTATCATATCTGATTCAAGATTGTATATTTTTATTCCTTTTTCTTTTTCAGATTGTTGGGGGATAAAAACTAGGACCTTGTGCATGCTGATAACTTGATCCTCCAGTGAGCCCACATTTCAATTTTCTTTTGGGAATGATAGTGTTGAGGAGTCCTTCCTGGGGGCCTTCCTCTGAAGTATGAGTATTTAAATCAGATGTGTGGTAGGCCTTCACAGTTCGGGCTTGGAGCCTTTCTGGGTTTTGAGTAGACCGTTGGTGCTAGAGCAGTCAGTCAGCACAAACTGGGAGAGCTGCGGCTGAGCTGAGACTGCCAAGTATGCAACCTGAAAGGGCTAGCTTGAAACATAGGCCCCATGATCCCCCCAAATGTTCATCCTAATTCTTACCCAGCCTTAGGAAAGCATGCTCCTAAGACCCCTATATTAGTCTTAGAACTTGGGAAGGAAGCAGGCTGAATCATGAGAATATCAGATGCAACCCAGGACGGGCATCTCTGCCAGAGGGTAAGTGGTGACTGATGCTGGGGAGGGGAAGGGCTTCCCCAGTCTCAACCCTGGAAACTGTGTTCTTGGCCTTTCAGCTGGCAATCGGGTGGAGTTGCTCTCTTGTCCTGGTCATCATGCCCACCAGGAGCCAGGCTCGGAGTGTGATGAGGAGGTTGCAGGGATGGGGTGGGCATACACAGGTTCTGAATAGGAAGTAGTAGGAATCTGACCTTGGAACCCCAAGTTCTATGAATTTTTCATTGGGTGAGCCTCCCACATTGGGGTTTGGAGCTAGGTCAGGGCAAGTTCTCGGAGGAGATGGCTCTTTGGTTGGAGCTAAAGAATATGAAGAGTTAGAAAGTACCAAGATTAAATAGCAGAGCAGAGAGAGCTCGTGTGTGTGTGTGTGTGTGTGTGTGTGTGTGTGTGGTGTGCCTGTGTGCCTGTGTGTGTGTGTGTGGTGTGTGCCTGTGTGTGTGTGTGGTGTGTGCCTGTGTGTGTGTGTGGTGTGTGCCGGTGTGTGTGTGTGGTGTGTGCCTGTGTGTGTGTGTGGTGTGTGCCTGTGTGTGTGTGTGGTGTGTGCCTGTGTGTGTGTGTGGTGTGTGCCTGTGTGTGTGTGTGGTGTGTGCCTGTGTGCCTGTGTGTGTGTGTGGTGTGTGCCTGTGTGTGTGTGTGGTGTGCCTGTGTGTGTGTGCCTGTGCGTGTGTGTGTGGTGTGTGCCTGTGTGTGTGATGTGTGCCTGTGTGTGTTTGTGTGTGTGTACGTGTACTACTTCTGATAATGTCATTTTGAAATATCTTGAACATTGTCTTAGTTGGGGTTTTATTGCCATGAAGAGACACCATGACCACAACAACTTTTATAAAGGAAAACATTTAATTGGGGCTGACTTACAGTTTCAAAGGTTTAGTCCACTATCACAGTGGCAGGAAACATGACGACATGCAGACAGACATGGTGCTGGAGATGTAGCTAAGAGTTCTACGTTTGGGTTTGCAGGCAGCAGGAAGTGACTGTAAGCCACAGGGCCTGGCTTGAACTTCTAATAAAAGACCTCAAAACCCATCCCAGTGACTCACTTCCTCCAACAAAGCCACATCTACTCCAGCAAGGCTACACCACCTAATAACACCACTCCCTATGGGTCTATGGAGGCCATTTTTCAAATCACCACAAATATCAATGCTCCTACCTCTTCTTTCTCCATGGCATAGCTGTGGAGTATGGAATCAAATCGAATGCACCTCAGCTTCACCACTTCCCACCTGAGATAAACTGTACATTTCATCTGAGACTCAGTTTCCTTTGTGCTGGCACTAATGTAATCAGACTTGTCCAGGACACCGTGAGGATTAAGTGAGGGGTGTCTCTACCAGGCTTGTTCTTTAGGGTTATCAGCTAGCTCCCCAGTCATGACTCAGACTTATTAGTTTTGAATTCTCGGCCTGGCTTAGGCTCATTTCTGGCTAGCTCTTTTCATTTAAATTAACCTGTTTCTCTTTATCTACCTTTTGCCTCAGGGCTTTTCACTTCCCTTCTGTATATCTTACTTTTATTGCTTCTTGTGTCTGACTACCTGGTTTCTTATCCACTTCTCTCTCATCTTTCTTCTCTCAAGCCTAGATTTCTCTGCCTATTTATTCTCTCTGTCTGCCAGCCCTGCCTATTTTTTCTCTGCCTAGCTATTGGCCATTCAGCTCTTTATTAAACCAATCAGCTGCCTTAGGCAGGCAAGGTGAAACAGATGCAACACATCTTTATATAATCAAGCACACATTCTTGCATCGTTACATAAATGTAGCATAAACAAAACTAACACATGTTTACACAGCTAAAATAATATTTCACAGTTTAAATAAATGTAACACCTCTTTGCTGGGTTAAAATAATATTCCACAACAGGTGTCCACGCAAGGTCAGCCTACAGCTGGTGGACAGCTGTGCTGTCAATACATTGTAGCTGCTCTTTCTCCTTCACCTGCTGGTCACTCTGGGTGCCTGCCCGCCCTGGTCATCAACAACAACCACCACCCCCATCAGCCTCACCTCTTCTTCCAGGTCTGGAGAGGCCTCAGTTTCCACTTTCAGTTCAGGATATGGTGGATGGACTCAGAGTTTGTGAGACAAGCCCTCTTGAAGGGAGCCAAAGGTAACAGAACTGATTGAGAGTAGTCGTGGACTTTTGTACACATTGAGGGAGAGGCATGTAGCGGGGTTAAGAAACCTTGACAGCACATAGGAAGGATGGAGGCAGGTGGGCTGGCTGTGTTCCTTAAAGACACAGGTATTTGGAACTCTCAAATCAGATGCTCATACAGGGTCACCAAGCCCATGGGACCTCAAGGAGAAAGAATAATTTTAGCTGCGTTTTGGACCTCCATGTTCTGGTAGAGATTGGCACATTCCCTCGGGCAATGCTGGGATCCAAGTGTCCAAGGTTACCTTGAGAACTTGACCCTTGGAGCTCTGCCTGGGGGGCTTCTGAGATGTGCTTTGTCGCAAAGCTTCCAAGGTACACAGAGTGAGGATGGCCTATCATTTATTCTTGGCCACAGCTCATCCTGTGGCCCAACTAAAAAGTCAAGGTTTTGGGTCTGGTTAATAATCCAGAGGAAGCAGCCCAATGTGGCATCCCCTGCCGCTGGATCACTTCACAGAGTGCGGCACACACAGGTCCTCAACCCAGGAAGAAGCCTGCTAAGATGTCAGAACTGCCAGAATGCAGGATAGCCAAAGCTACATCTCAATGGGGCAAACTCCAGGCAAAGAGGAAATGGTCGACATTCTCCAGGCCTGTAATTGACAAACTGATCACTGCACATAGGAAGGCAGAGGACCCTTGTATCTGGAGTTATGAACAGGCGGCAATGATCGCGTTCTTCCTCCTCTGACTCCACCCTTTCCGACCTAGAGCCACCACCACAGGTGGCTGGTTCAGAACTCCCACAGCGGCATCCGGGTATGTCTTCAGTTGCATTTCCTCTGCACCCCATCTCAGCATCTCTGGACACAGCTTTAGAGACTTTTACAGCTCTTCCTCACCATCATGTCTGCTGGCAGTCTTCATTAGCAAGGGTGTCCTGGAGCACTGTGGGTGGAGCTTCCAGGCTGACCTTTACTAGGCTCTGGGTTCAGTCTCCAGTAATGAGAAAATAAGGAACAGGGCTACTGTCTTGCCCTGTATCCTTTTCAAATCTTCATTCCATGGAGACTCCCAGACTGATGGAGGAGGTAGACAGACATCCAGGGGACAGAGAGGCGGGGTTAGAACAGGAGTTTTTAAGAATGTATGATTTTTGTTGCTGTTTCTTGAGACAGGGTCTCTTTATGTAGTTGTAGCTATGCTGGAACTGGATATGTAGACCAGGCTGGCTTTGAACTCAGAGTTCCAGCCTTCTGAGTGCTGGGATTGAGGTCGCGTGCCTCCACACTTAGGAGAGCAGTGACTTTTTTAGTGTACAATCTCCATAAAGGAGCAGAGAAAGAGCAAGTCAGGGAGTCTTTATTTTCTCTTTGCTCTTGACTGTGACCTTCCCAGAAATAACAGGTAAGATTTGATACCGCAGCCAAACAAACCATTCTCTCGCCACAGTTGCCTTTTGTCACAACAGCAGGGAGTCACAGAAATGAGCCAGGACGCCATCCGTCCTCTATCCGCCCACTCATGCATCCTGCATGCCTCTTCTGAGCACTAACTGAAGCCTGATTATGCTTAGTACCCGAGCACAGAGATGAAAGACCCCATTCCTGCTCCATGGCACGTGCTATACTCCTTTCCCTAGATCTAAGCTCAGGGAAGCTCCATTTTCACTGGTAGGGACTGAATTCAGGACTTTGAACATGCTAGGCTAGCATCCTACCGATGAGCTCTCTTAAGCCTAGGAAACTTACTTATGATGTTAAAACAAGACTGAAATCTTTTCAGGCTCTCTCCATGACACAGGACAACAACAGAA